TGTACCTCGGTAACCACTTAATCGATTTGTACCTAACTAGGTTCAATTATATCATTAAGTCTACCTCTGCATATTATCGAAAACGTTTGAAATCGGTTAAACACGCCCACGTATCATGCAAAGGTAGTTCAGAGAAAGTTGAAACGACGATATTTGATACCTGCGACGGGTATATAAAGTTCGGTTTTCGCCCGAACTTATACTTCTTTACTTGTTTCAGTACAATTTATGAAAACTTTCGTTCATTTGTAAACACATGCGTAAATTACCGAACAAATCTCTGTACTAATAATTTTGTATATTGTACGAAGGCATTCTTGTTATTTACATACATGTGTTTTTAAAATATACGAAATCTACAATTCTGTGTTCATAGCTAGTACTAATGCAGAAACATTTTTTTAAATTCGTACAATATACGAATATTAGCGTGCAATATACTAAATTGCCGGCAGTTTAAGATTTCATCATATTTCTATATACCGCGTGTCATTGCGAAGTTATAATATAAATTTAAACGTTTTATAAAGGAATTTGCTGGATAAAAAATACATTAAAAAATAAATATGTATTAATTTGTGATTTAATTTTTATAACCATTCGTGGAGCTATCGATTAATCGTAAACATTGCTACCTGCGATTGCTAGCTGGCAAAGGTGAATGGGTGAATTTTAAATTTGTTTTTTGCTTTTGTTTTATTGCTTTTTATTGTTTTTGTCTCATTGTTGCATATAGAGCGCTGAGACATGATCTCCATGCAATGGGTTATCAGAAAAAAATCAAACACTGGTGCGCGTGCGCTGCAATACGTATGAACAGCAATCGAGACACCGAGAATAAATAATCCACAATAAATATTTGATGTTTGACCGCAATACAAATCGCCTGATGGTTTTCGGTTGGTAAGACTAAAGCTCGTTCTTATTTATTTTCTTTCATTAAAATAAATTCTTTTTTTTTAGATTGAGTCTGATTTCGTCTTCTTATTCGGAACCAGATATGAGATCATTGATAACCTCATTGCTTCTTGCAATTTACTTTTGGATAATAATGTTTGTTTTTTTGATGTTGGTCGGAAACTGGAGTCCAGTTACTGGACTCGAAACCAGGCCATGCGGATTGGTAGCGTGCACTGCTGACCACTACACCGCAGCGGCCTCCAATCGGAATACAAGTTAAAAATTATGAATGTTTATTTAATTTAAACTGTATGAGTTGTACTCCAGTGTAAAAGAGAACAGTGTTTTTATTTTGTAACACAAATTCACCATAAAACTATGGGCGGATAAATAGCGCATTTATCCTCCTATACCCGTAGCTGTCCTATACAAGTTTTTGGATATTTTAAACAAGTTTGAAAATATTTAATTTTTAACCGACTTCCGAAAAAGGAGGACGTTATCAGTTCATCGGAATATTGTTTTTATTTTTTTTTTATGTATAACTTTCGACCACGTCAACCGATTTCGATAATTCTTTTTACATCGGAAAGGTTGTGTCTCAGAAGTGGTCCATACTAATCTGGTTTAGATCCGATCATTGGATCATGAAAAAATTAACGTTTTGCGTTTTGCTTAAAAATTTTCTTGTAATTAACAATTTTTATTGAGCTTGTGGCCGTTTTTAGTAAATGACTTATTGTGGAAAAGCAACAATAATTTGAAAAAAAAGGTAGAAGTGATAGCTATTTCGGAAATCACCACATTTCCTCATCAGACTGCTTTCAGTAGGATTCGAACCGATAGAAGTCTGACGAGGAAATGTGGTGATTTCCGAAATAGCTATCACTTCTACTACTTTTTCAAATTACTGTTGCTTTTCCACAATAAGTTTTTCATTAAAAACGGCTTCAATCTCAATAAAAATTGTTGAATATAATTGTCATAAGGCCATAAAATAACAAAAAAAAATCTGGTTTATCTACAGATTTATAGTATGCGCATACTCACAGACTATAAAAGTCATAGCTCATATGGTAGCACAACACTTTCATTATATTTTTGTCATTCATGCTTTGCAAAACATTTTGTTAAACAAAAACGCTTAAATTTACGATACAATAGAATAAAATTGTTGTGTTATAACTCGTACTATGGGTTTTACAGTGTGGTGAATGAAAGCAACAACCGCAGGTTTTACGAAAATAATTTCGTTAAATAAACGAATTACTTGTGTGCATTTTACAAAAATTTCGTAAAAAAAAAACAAAGAAATAATACGAAATTCTTTAGTAAATAGTACGAACGCATTCGTATGGTATACTAAAGATCTAAAGTCTCATATTTTCGTAGTATGTACGAAAAGGGTTTTGTACAATTAACGAAAACTTTCGTGGCTCAAAATGACGAAAAATTTCGTAAGATGTACGCAAGCTTTCGTTATATATACGCAGATTTTATTTTCTGTGCATGAAAAAAAAAAATTACCAAGGAAACAATTAAAAAGACGTAACGGTTTGTGAATGACTACCTTAACTCCTATTATTTTATTTTATAATAATAATAAGCGTGGCTTTCTATTATTATCCCTCCGAATTTTTCCATAATGCCACTTTTTAAATTTTGCCGTGATATTAACATTAGTTGTTTTGCTTGCCTAATTGCATTACAGTTAAGAGGCGCAAGAATTTATTGGTAGAACAATCATTGCATCATGGTAAGTACGGCTAAGTATTTTCCGAATGTCACCCAGTGTTTTGTGCAAAGACACTAAAAATAAAATAATTAGCAATGCCTGTTTATTGCATTAACATTTTCAGTGATTTCCTTGTTTGTATATTTTCGTGAAATAGATATCTTAGAAAAAGAACCAAAAAATTGAAATATTTCCAGAATGTCACTTTTAGGTGAAAATGGATTTTTTGCTTAAATAACTTATTTCTCCAGGAGTGTTCAAAAGGCATATATGAGAAATTGTTGGCGAAGAAAGATTTAAAAAAAAGCCTGCCTTCCAAGAAAAACCTCACGTTATCGTCATGGAGAAGGTGGAAAAACTTCGACATTAGATTATCGGATAAGTTAGATAAGTTATAAGATAAGTTTGAAAATGATATGCAAATATTTAAAAAGTTCCTCTCAATTTTTAAACCCTTTTCACATTCTGTGTACTCTGGTAACCGGTAAATTCTTTTACCATTTCATAAGCTGGTGCGATGACAAGAACTGGTAACATTTTTTGGTAACACAATTTTCCTATTACAAAATATTCTGTAACGTGCAGAATAGACCTGTTAATGTCAAAAAACCGTACAACTCTTATCGGCTAGTATACTTTTTTGTAACAGTTTCTAAACTTATTTATTACTTTAGCTTCTTCTTATTTGGCGCTGTAACCGCGTAAGCAATTTTGGCCGAGTTCAACAAAGCACGCCAGTCGCTTCTTTTCTGTGCCAACTGGCGCCAATTGGAAATGCCAAGTGAAGCCAAGTCCTTCTCCACCTGGTCTTTCCATCTCAGTGGGGGCCTTCGTCTTCCTCTGCTACCACCAGAGTGCTGACAGTTGTATTACCATGCGTTTATACAAAACAAGACAATTGATAATATGTGTTATTATACCCGAGCGCACTTGTGCACAAGGGTATTATAACTTTGTTCACATAACGGTTGTTTGTAACAGGCAAAACGAATCGAGATAGATATAGACAAATGTATACATAAATGATCAGAATGAAAAGAGAAATCGATTAAGCGGTGACTGTCTGTCTGTCCGTCCGTCCGTCCGTCCGTCCGTCCGTCCGTCTGTGCACACGATAACTCGAGTAAAAATTGAGATATCTTAACGAAACTTGGTACGTGAACTTCTTTTGGGCGTAGGACGGATGGTATTGAAAATGGGCGAAATCGGACAATAACCACGCCTACCTCCCATATAACGGTAATTTTCAGAAATACGAAAACTGCGATATTTTAGTAACTACTGAAGATAATTCACTCAAAATTGATATTTGCAATGAGTTTTAGACGAAAAATAAGAATATTACAAAATTTTGGAAAATGGGCGTAGCCACGCCCACTTATGGTTACATGTGTATATCTTGGTAACCGCTGCACCAATTTCTTCCAAACTTGGCACAGTTGTTAACCTTGGTATAACATACGAAATGGTCGAAAATTTTTAAAATCCAACAATAACCACGCCCACATCCCATATAACGGTAATTTAGAGAAATATGAAATCTTCGATAAATCAGTAATTATTGAAGCTAATTTATTCAAAATTGATGCTTGCAACAACTCTTTACCAAGAAATACGTTTATGATAAAATTTTGAAAAATGGGCGCGGCACCGCCTACTTGTGATCACATATATGTATCTCGGTAACCGTTCTACCAATTTGTACCAAACTCAGTGTGGTTATTGTGCTTGCCACATAGAAGCAAAACGTTGAAAATTATTGAAATCGAACGACCGCTTTTCATATAACAGTGAATTTCAGAAATGCTTGAAACTTCAATATTTCGAAATTTAAGGACGCTAATTTACTCAAAATGGATACACCCGGTTTACCATGTAGCGGTAGCTTTCGGAAAGGTGAAAAACATATATTTAATACTTGCGCCGGGTATTTAATGTTCGGCTCAGCCCGAACTTAGACTTTCTTACTTGTTTTTCACATTGTTTGAGTAAAGTCTTCGAAAATTTGCAGGCAATGAGAGAAATGTGAATTTATAAGTAAAAAAGTGTGAATGTATTGCTATTGCATCTGCTTTGTGACTTGTGTGTAAGCCCCAAGTACGCAATCATAAATAACAGCCCTATCTACCAACTCTTTTTTCCACTTTTGGCTGCACTTTTGTGTGTTGGAAGAATTTTTATTTATTAGGAGAACGTGGGTGTTAGTACCGAGTAGAGTGAATTTTTCTACTAAATCTATGGTAAAAAGGTGGTTGCACCAAAGTTCAACTCTCTAGATCTCACAATCGAATATATCATATATGTATGTACGTTCTGACTTACTTATTATTACATTTTACTATTAATTTTTATGCGGCTTTACTAGACTGGATGGTAAGCATTTGCCACTGCCACCTTCAATGAACGGCACGCAATGGGGTCAGGCGACGATGGCGCGAAATCTGGAGCGTAATTGCCCATCAAATAGACCATGTTCGAACGTAATCTGTCCGGACCCATTTGATTGTGTCGACCTGTGGAACGAGTACGAATGCACGTAAGTATTAAAAAGTCGCTTAGAATGTAAGTTTTTTCATGAGCATTTCTTTCAACCGCCTATTGTTTATCATTTATATGTATTTATGCTGGGATTCAGTAATCAGTCTCTAGTCACAAATAGACACTCTTCGTGGTGAAAATCGATTTTGAGACTATTTGGTATTCAGTAAGCTGTCTCACGTCACTATTATAAAGAAGTCATTATTTTGTCAGCTGGTTTTAAGCAGGTCACAAAACGAAAAATATGGAACAAGAAATATTTGCTTTCTTTTTAATTTAAAAAAAGCACGAAAATGAAGCCAGATAATACTTTTTAACAACAATTTTGGGTTATTGTGTCCAAATGGGTGACCAGATCTAAATAATTTTTACATACGCGTGTAGTCAAGGCTCCAGACTTTATTTATCTAATCTTGTCAATCACTAAATCATTAATAAATTCGGTTTGAAATATGCACTTTTTTTGAATTTTGGAGTGAGTTCAGCTCAAAAATGCTGTGGATCTAGCCGGAGTTGGTCTGATGAGGGTTATTTTTTCTAAGCGCTGTCAACGCGGAAAAGTGTTCTGCGCAATAATACCGTGGATGGCATAGCCCGAGCTTACATTTTTTATGTCAAAATTCAAGTTTACCCCATTTTCAAATGGTTTCTCTGGGCCTGAGGAAGGGTTCGAAAAGTCAAGTTTAAATGTGCTCTTTCTATTGGGTGGAGTATAAAGAGTTACGCCCCCTCCCCTTCCGCCCACTAACCAAAAGCAGTGGGCAAATAACTAAACATTGCCTACAATTTTTTTATGATCTAGGAATGCCCGCAGGCAAGCTTGTGGGATAATGAAGATCCATTTTTGCTGGAGGAACAAACGTTTAGGGGGTTTTCAGATTTCCAAAGTCGTGTTGCTGGGACCTTCTTCAGTAATTAAAACCTCACGACAAATACACTCAGAAATCTAGAATTCCGTTTGAGCTTCGAGTAAGGTTAATGGTTGTAAAAAAGTGATGCACTTTACTAAGTACTGTTTTCATTTTAGTTTATTTCAGTATCTACTATTATATCTGTCGAATGGCTCGTACCAAAGCTGCATTGGAAATAGCGCCGTTCAGAAAAAAATTCAAGTATCAACCTTCAATAAAACTTCTAATTCTTAAATTAAAATGGTAGTTTTAATTTTTTATTGAGATCGTTGACAGTTTTATTTATTATTATTTTTTGGTTTTTATATAAAACTAGCAGACCCGGCGAACTTCGCCCCGCCCAAAATTAATTTTTTTATTAAAACATTCGACCAACCCAACCTTTTCGCCAGCAATTCACGTTCACGTTTGGTTTTATGATCTACAGAAGGCATATCCTCCATTGCCGTCTTAAATAACCTGACGAAAGCGTTATACCCGCAAGAAGTCCTTGCGGCTCGATAGTGAATCGTCCTTGAATCTGTATAGTNATTATGGTTGATTTAACGGGAGTAATTTGAATTTGATTCCTGGTGCCTCCGAATCGATGATTTTTAGCAATAACTCGGCTCCAGCGCCACTAAACATTATCATTAAAATCGTTTCGGTCGTTAAGGAGAAGTTAAGCCACCAGAATAAGGCTTTTTTTTACATACATTCGCTCGGAAAAAATGCACAACATCATCAGCGAAAAAAATTCTCAAAAATCAACTTAAAGTTATAGTCATTTAGAACTTNCGCAAGAAGTCCTTGCGGCTCGATAGTGAATCGTCCTTGAATCTGTATAGTATAGTTGGTGGCAAAATCTAAACTGGTGAGTATAATAGGTCCACATTCTGTTTAGTCACCGTAAAGAAAGGACCGCAATGGTTTTGATGGTTGATTTATTCTTCTTCTTTTTTGGCGCTGTAACCGCCTAAGCGATTTTGGCCGAGTTCAGCAAAGCACGCCAGTCGTTTCTCCTCTGTGCCAACTGACGCCAATTGGAAACGCCAAGTGAAGCCAAGTCCTTCTCCACCTGATCTTTCCATCGCAGTGGGGGCCTCCCTCTTCCTCTGCTACCACCAGCGGGTTCCGAGTTGAATACTTTCAGAGCTGGAGCGTCGGTGTCCATTCGAACGACATGACCAAGCCAGCGGAGCCGCTGTATTTTAATTCGCTGCACTATGTCCATATCGTTGTAAAGCTCATACAGCTCATCGTTCCATCGTCTGCGGTACTCGCCGTCGCCAACGCGTAAAGGCCCGTAAATCTTCCGCAAAATCTTTCTCTCAAACACCCCAAGAGCCGCCTCATCGGATGTTGTCATTGTCCATGCTTCTGCGCCATATACCAGCACGGGCATGATGAGTGACTTATAGAGCGTGGTTTTCGTACGTCGAGAGAGGACTTTACTCCTGAATTGCCTACTCAGTCCAAAGTAGCACTTGTTGGCAAGAGTGATTCTGCGTTGGATTTCAATGCTGACATTATTATTATTATGGTTGATTTAACGGGAGTAATTTGAATTTGATTCCTGGTGCCTCCGAATCGATGATTTTTAGCAATAACTCGGCTCCAGCGCCACTAAACATTATCATTAAAATCGTTTCGGTCGTTAAGGAGAAGTTAAGCCACCAGAATAAGGCTTTTTTTTACATACATTCGCTCGGAAAAAATGCACAACATCATCAGCGAAAAAAATTCTCAAAAATCAACTTAAAGTTATAGTCATTTAGAACTTGCACTTTATGACACTAAAATTGAGTGAACTATATTTCTATAAAAAATTAACAAAAAAATTTATTATGAAAAAGAACAAAAAACACTGTATTCTGGATGTATATATTTACAGCAGAGCTGTGTAATGATTGAATCAATTGAGTGTGCATTCTCATTTTATTCGTATAAAAAATGTGATTGTTTGATTTTAAAAATTTAACAACCAATCTTGAGATTGGTTACCAATTGTAAAATATGTAGTGTGTTATGGAATGGTTGATACCCATTCACATAGAGTGTGTGAATGCAAAAAAAACTCAATCATGTATGATCTGTCATTATCATTCTTAGTACTACCAGCGATTAACGAGTAAAAAAATTTAATCATTAATCGTACAGTTGATTACGACTAATTAATTTTAATCGTCAAACGCGATTAACATTTTAATCGTTAATAAGATTAAAATTTTGCCAACATTGTGTGAAATCATATTCATATTCACGGAGAAAAATGGACGTTTTTGGAAAAGAGGCGTAGCACCTCCCATACTGATTGAAAGTTTCATATTGCATATCTCTTCAAATGTTTGGGGTAAAGTACTTAAGCTTGGTATAGAAATACATATGTATGTATGTATCTGGAACTAATACCATACTCATGGAGAAAAATGTGAGTTATTGGAAAAGGTGGTGTGTGGTTTTTCTATGCTGCATATCTCTGGAGCTGGTTATTGCAGAGGACTGGAACTTGGCACCGAGATGTGTATGTATTCAAAATTAATTCCATACTCATGGAGAAAAATTTGCGTTATTCGAAAAGGCGACATGGTACCTCCCGTACAAATTTACTGTTTTATACTGCATATCTGCATAGGTGTTCATGGTAGAGTACTGAGACTTGGTACTGGGGTATGTAAAATCAATTCTACATTCATGGAAGAAGATTAGGGTTATAGAAAAAGGGGCGTAACACTTCCTGTACAAATTGACTTCTTCTTGCCACATATCCCTGGAAGTATTTGTGGAAGGATATTGGAACTTGGTATGGAGTTGTGTATACAAAATGTATCAATTGCTCATGGAAAAGTGTGAGTTATTAAAAAAGGAGGCATGTCGCCTCCCATACATACTAAACATTTCTTAATAAATATCTGTGGATGGATAGAAAATCTCTGGAAGTATTTTAAATTTGTTACGGAGATTTATTTTATAAGTGCCGTACTGACAGAAAAAATTTCATTTAATGGAGAAGTGAGAGTCGGGTTCGGCCTTATAATCTAAAGCTCTCATGATGTACAAATACCTCTTGAGGCGTTTGCTACAGTAATGAGGAGTGGTATTTTATCAAGGCGAGGTTACTAAATTTCAGTTGGAAATATTAGAACCCGCCGTGGCACGTCCAAGAAAGTTACACGTTCACGCGTCGTATCCCTGAAATCATTTTAAGGTAAACTTAGAGGGATTGATATCTTTCGTATGCCTAGCGCGCAGACGAGATTTTATAATTTCATAGTTTTAAACGGCCTAAATACCTTAGCCCGCTTAAAAAATAACGAGCTATAACGAAATGGGCACAGAAATAAGATATAACATCATTAAATTATTTTTAATATTTGTATAAAAACGTGGGGTGAAACCCGCGGGTATTAGCTAGTATTGGTATATTTTATATAAACAAAAGTGGTAGAAGTTGATCGATTTTTTAAAAATGAACAATGTTAGATAGTTTTTACTCATCTAAGATAAATCAAGGTGAATTCATATAAGGGGGTCTTATCGGAGCAGCTGTTGTTCTTTATGTCAAAATGATGTAATTGTTGCAATTCTTATTGTAATTATGCGCAGTTGGTGTAATTTTTGTTTCTGTGCTCCTGCTATAACGCTGGGATAGTTGTATTTTTTAATAAAAGAACAAAAATTATATTTCACACCAATAAAACTTTCAACAAAAAACTTATAGATAATATTGGGCCCGAATCACGGCATCCGTGAGCTAATGTAACTCGATTTGATTTGAATGAAATAAAATGACAGCTATTTTCTCCCAAATATATTTTAAATTGAAAAAGCGAGCTCGCTATCAAATTCCGTAATCTCATTGAGATTATCTTAAAAAGAATTTTGCTTCGAGTTGGATTCCATCACGGATGCCGTAACTAATTTAAAAACAATTATCATTACTACAAAATTTTTTGTTTAAAATTAGATTCAAGTTTGCAAACCATTTGTTTGGCAGTCTATCACAAAAAACGTATCGCAAACGAAAAATATTTAGATAATCAGCTGATAGAGATGTAATTTAACTTTTAAATTGGTTTTGGTCAGAGTTAACTTTTCATTTTATTTT